AAATTTTCGAAAAGTTTTTTGAATCTGCCAAATAAAATATATAGGTCAAAAGTTCTTCGACCTTTTTCAGGTGAATAGTTATACAAACGTGTTGTATCTGTATTGTACACGTTCATTTTGGACGGTCGTCTGTGATTTACCGCATGCGACAGCCGTTGTTCAAACTTTATAATATATATATATATATATGTTTATATATGAATTAAAAACGGTAAACTATCACCAACTACCTACTATACTACTAATATCGTAACACGACGTCAGTGCATTTAACATTTAATTAATTGTCTTAAACGCGCATTTATCAGCACGGTGTCACGTTGACGCTTATTACGAGACAGCGATCACTTTTCGCTCGCGCACCTTTTGATTTTTATTAATATTCATATTTATAATGCTATTATGGTTATCTTTATTACCATAACTACCCATTATTATTAATATTACAACGGCACGCGAGCGTTTTCACCCGAAAACATATGAGTAATACCATCGAATACCATTAAGATTTAAGTCCTCGTTTCGCCTCCAGTACCGAAGACGCCATAGTCGGTTTTTGAAACATTTTAATATGACGCGCGTGGCCATTATAATAAATAATAATGCACATCGAAAATTCAAAAGAAGGGTGCGCAGCATCATAATACGTTTTATAAAGAATAAACGTTGAGTGTAAGTCGCCAGGCGCTGTTTCGCACACACGCACGCACAAATATACGAGTACATACACACGCGTACATAATATCGGTATAGAGCGTTACAAAAATTGTTTTAAAAGCTCACACGCAAGAATAAAATAATATAGCACTGTTGATCTACGGCCCGAAACCAAATGAATGAATAAACACACTTTCGTTAGTAAATTTATCGTCCGATTGCACATTGAAAGTTCTCGAACGAGGTCGAAATGAAAACATCAGTAACGTTACATTTTAACTAACTAACTTTTTTTCAAATATATATGTAATATATATTATATAATGTATATTATTATATACATATTATGTATACTAGCTTGATTAGGTGCGTCAACAATTATTTAAAACACTATGGATTTGTATTTTCAAGTCATCTAATGCAGAAAATTTATATTTATTTTGTTGACTTTTGTACGATTGCGTTCTTAATGACGTTTCATTTTGTATCAACGTAGTGTATATTGAATATACAGACATATATATATTATTTGAATTACCCAATGTTACCCGAGAAAATAAATGCTTATCTTTATGTTTGTCATTTTATAAATGTGTGTGTGTGACATTCTTTTAAACAAACGAAAGAGTTGATTACGATTTTCTACAAAATCTTCCTACATCCCCACAACTGATTTCTCTTCAACTTCTCCGATAAAATTATACTGGCACCAAGTTGTCACGTGTTATTCACAACTGCCCATAAAATAGATTTGGAGAAACTTTGGGTCATCAATAGGCATTGGTATCAACGACTCAATCTTACGATTTCTAAATTACCTCCACCGGATGTGAGGTCATAAATTTTGGTTGTCCCAAATGACGTTACTTGGAAGCAAGAAATGAATTCGCTTATTTTGCGCAATTGTCGGATTGACTATTAAGAAGTGACTGTAAATGTTTCGGCGAGGAGAGAAGAGGTTAGGTAATTGTAAAACTTTTCCTGGTGCGCAACACGCGTCGTGTATTTCATTGCTAAATCCCAACGCCTGACAAAAAATGGCATACTTTGTCCATTTTACCGATAGCAATTTTAGAACGCGCAGAACAATTAATGTCTGGTGCATATTCAAACGTAGAACGAATAAATTAAAACGAAATTATTTTCAGTAAAATAGACAGGTTCACCGTTTTTAGGTGCACACTCAGGTGCACGGGAATGTGGCATTTTAGGTTTTTTTTGGTTGTTATAGCAACAACGTAACAACAACTGTCCATTCGGACTTTATCAGGTGTACTGATGATTCCCTTTTCTTTTTTTGCGATAAAAGGTAGCTTTTGTTCTTCTCTGAAGTCTAATCTACCTCTGTATCGAATTTAATCAAAATTGGTTAAACATATTCGGAGTCCATCGAACTCAAATCGTCGAACATGTCATATATCATATTAACTGTAACAAATTGTAACAAGTGTTTGACTTAATTGGTAGACTTTCTAAATATTTTCTTTCATAAAAACCTAGTCCAATAAATTACGAATTTCAAAATGATGAAAAGGAAATTTTTATAATTATAATAAAAATAATGTTTATCAAGTTATAAAAAGTGGCGACTGTATAGTTTAGTAATTAAAAAGAGGTTTTTAGGTAACATTTTAAGTAATAGAGGTCAAAATTAAATTAAACGCACACTGCAGTATACCCAGTCTAATTAAAATGTAATTAAATATTTCACATTTATTGCTCTGCAACGCTCAATAATAAGACAAAACAAAATCGTATTGCTTCATTACGGCTCCGGTAGTTAATAATTTGTACGTTTCACAAACGTGAATAACATTAGTGTAGCTGTAACATTTTTTTTTTTAAACATTATTTGATAAGTCACTATGCGACTTTTACGTAATGAAAAATCCGTCTTATATAATTTATCTATTATGTTCTACGAATCGTTTTTAACCCAGCATAAAAGTAGTATCCTTTCATGCGAATGTTATATTTACACTACGAATTATATTTAATTTATAACGCACAGGCATTTGGTACGTTTAATCATTCGTAGTTCAGGATCACTTGAATTGGAATAAAGATTATCATTTTAACTTATAAATGTATGAGCGTACATATTCCGAACGTGTTTAATATTGTTATTCGCATGACAACGTCGATAAGCTATTCAGCGGTGAGTTTATACTCACGAATAGGATAAACAAACGGAGATAAAAAAGTGGAAATGAATAAATTGGCAGAATTTTTACGAGAAAACAAAATATATTGATGTAAACCATCATAAGAATAAAAATAACAACCGTTAAGGACTACTACGCCACAGTGTAGGGTTTATGTTTTGCGTATCGTACGCCAATTCCGTAACGCAATAAAATATTTTTAAAGTATTTTTATTCGTATATTATACATGCCCCAACACACACACACGTGAAATGTGACGTAGTATGTACCGAATACAAAAATATGGCCAAGTAAACATTTTACATTAAATTATCCTTCGTAGTAATACGTTTAAAGTTAAAATAATATTATGTACAACATATAAACGTTATACTCGCGCGCCTACCTGATTCAAACAATCCTTTGTGTATACCGGCGTATGTTAAACATTTAACGGATGTCCGACGAATTATCGATTTTGACTAATCTCGCGACAATTGACTGTCATATCGCACAGCGGTTATCACAAGTTAATGGGTACCAAAATTCCACTATCAGCCCTGCAGATCGTACGATTCATGCTGAACTGGTCGATCTTGTTGGTCGATTTCATTCCTAACCATACATGATATGCCGTATGGTGCCCGTAACTGTTGAAAATATCCATCCATTTCATGTAATTGAGTGTGGTAACTGATGATAAAAAGTGATACTGTTGTTGCGTGCTGTCAGTTCAACCGTTGAAGAGTGGATGTGAGAGGATAGATTTATTAAATAATTACTAGACTTTATATATTTACTATTTATTGATAAATTATTCTAAGTCCAAAAACATTTATTAACTAAAATTATTTCTATGTACAAACATTTTTAATCTAACTAGCGTGAAGGTGCTTGCTAAGCTCGGATTAAAACACATCTGAATATTGGTCTGTTAGCAACCCCCTTATATACTCAGATCTTATGGGAATCAATGGTGCAACAATGTGTAAAAGTTGTTCCTGATTATTATAAATATAATATTTATTACTTTACTGACCTTGCTAATATTACTATTCATACATCTCCCACATTTTGTCGTACTTCTTTTTAATTGCTTTTTAAATATTACACTTTGGAATGTAGCCATACAGTTCATATATAATATGTGTTTGTGTTACCTTCTGATTTTAATTAATAATTCATTTCTGTTTATACGAATATTACATTATTTATAATAATTTCCCGATTTCTATTATTTATGATATATGTGGTCCCTCCTAGGTAGTAAGAGTCGTAAGGACCTACATCTATGTATGTCCGTAACACAGTCGATAAGTATCTAACCGTATTGTTACGAATTTAATAACTATAAGTACATATATATATATATATATATATATATATATATATTTTAAATAAAGGCCTATTAAATATAACGTATGCATTGACTAACGGGACACGGCTATATATAATATAATATATAATATATATAATATATATATTTCTTTCGAAGTCCAGACGGTTTAATAGTTTATTGTGCAGTTACTGTACACGAATTTAATGATAACCGTAGGTACGTACGTGTGCAGGTGCCGTTATACGGACGACAGTATTACGACTCACGTATTCATGACCGAATTTCGTTAACCGTGCACGTTACCGCAGTGTATATACCCGTGATAGTCGACAGTGCCGGACCATTTAATTTTGTGTGTTCGGGTGCGATTACGAACGGCCGCGCTGAAAAGCGATAGAGGTACATGCAACTATATTGACATGGATTAACAACCAGAAATAAAAACGATTATACCATATTTATACGTAACAGATGCGTTGATCGAATGCGCGGGTCACATTTCGATCGCGGAATATAGCGCATGCATAAACATACGAATACGGTCGAAACACGGTCTTGGACGGTATAACGCAGTGCGTGCACGAACTTAATGTATGTACAACGACCATATAATAACAGTAATAAACGTGTGTATACGTGCAGGTGCTGTAATACGAACGTTTACAAACATATTATTGTAACCGCGCGAGAGCTTGTGATGTCGAGCACTCGAAAAAAGGTGTTGTTGCGATTTTTCGTTCTTTCTTTCGGTTCGTTTTATCTTATCGTGCTCAGCGCTAATAATAATTTTTTTTAACAGGCGTACGCGTGTACTTGGATTTTATTATTGTTTCATTTGTTTTTTTTTGTTGCGTTGCAGTTTAAAAAATGAGTTTTTCTGCGGAAGCTTCATCGGCAGCGGCAGCGCTGGACGCGGCGGCAGCTGCGAAAAAATTGAATTTAGAAAAAGCGACAAACTTCATGAAACAGTACAGAGACCCGCACAGCCGTGAGCTGAAAAAGCTCTCCGCAAACCAATTCATGGACGTGTGGAGTCATTACGACAAAGACGGTGAGTGCATAAAATCGTGTACGCGGATGGATTTAACGACGTCGCGAACGATATCGCCGAGCCGACGTGCATTTGCAATGAGCTGTAAAAACGCGGCGCGGTAAACGGAATGGGTTAGGATAGAAAGGGGTGGGGCATCGGTAACGGAGTGAATGATAATTCGAAGGAAAACGTTTAAATGGTGTAAACTCTTACGGCATTTTATCCGAAAAACTCTATACCATACATTACACTGTTATGAAACGCCTGCGCATACGCGTGCACCGTTGACGTGTACTTACGCTCGGCTCAAAAATCGACGTAAACCGTAATCAATTTTAGCGACCAGACAAAAGTTTGTTTTACGTGTTTACTTCGAATACATTATAAATAACATTTTCCGCTTTTTCCCCGAAGGTCATAGCACTACGTAATGGTGTTCGGCATTTGTCTGTATAAATATATTCCACGCGTCCGAACGGTATTATCGCGCGCGGTGGTCCAACTAAAATTATCCGGTTAGAGCCGGGGACGGCAAGCAATTTTAATTGGAGACCTAAAGCTGATCGAAATAATAATAACCAACGAGTTGCACGGGAAACTATATATCGTATCGTAATAGTATATTTTCTGGTTCTACGAAATGGTTTCAAAATAATTACAATATGAATATTACAAGACCGTCAACCGTCATCGATCATAATAATATATGATTTATGCAATGAACAAAATGGACATTTTATTCGTTTTTTGTCCGTCGGTTGCATTTAGCCAGTTACCCACCTCTGAACGACTTGGAGCTACACGTTCACCGGTGCACAAAATCCGGCGCTGGCGCGTTTTCTTTTACTCGCGTATCTGCAGCGAGGATGACTATTTTTATTTTACTTTTTTACTTTTTATTTTTTTTTTTTGGCAACCGCTACCCATAATAATATATACGGTGTGTGCAGCAGGTGAAATAAATTGTCCGTTTTATCTCGTACGCACGCACATATACAATATAGTAATCCTCGGGCAAACGACGGGAAGAAACGCCCGTAAATTATTATATATAAATATTTATCGAGAGATAAAGAGAGAGGGACATGGTGTCGGGAACCCCGCGATCGCTGCTGCAGTGCAGAGACAGTGAAGTTTACGACGGGTGGACGGAGTAGAGCTGATATTGATTTATAGCGGACCGATAGTTTTTAATAAAACACCACCATCGAATTCGTTTTGACAACCGCCTTCGCATCGGCTGGCTACGGCGTTCCGCTATTTCATTATTATTGTTGGAATTAATTTCGTTGTTTATGGTCGTGGTCATTGTACGACGTTTGCGGATGGTTTTTCCGTTCACTCGCAGCAGCGCCGAGTCGCGGTGGCAAACGATTGGCAATCTCTCGCGTCGTATCTCGATGGTCGCACTTGACTCGAGGATGCGTATGGGAACAGCGAAATGAGTGTTATCAACGAGATTTTATATTTTTTTTTTTTTTGATATCGTGCTGCTGCTGCTGCTGCTCGTTCGCGTGTACTTCATCGATTCGATAATTCAATATAACCCGACGTAATGTGATAATCAACAAAGATATATGCACGGTGTATGACCGGTGCTATACATTTGATACATAACTACGACTTATAACAGGCATGGTAAACTTTTTGAACACTACGTGCCCAAAATTAAATTACCTTTTTTTCTTTTTTTTTATAGAGCGTGCCATGAAAAAAATATTAAAAATATTATATTTTGTTATATTATAATTTGATTGTATAATTAATGTATTGGTATAAGAAGGTTAGTTTAGGTACATAATAATAATAATAATAATATATAATCTATATATATAAAAATGGAGCCAAAAATGTATACAATTTCATCAATTGAGAACAGCTGGCCCAGGTTAGGTTAGGTTAGATTTGGCTCAAATTTTTTTAATTGTTCGTAATTGCAAGGAGAAGGTTTTTACGGAAAAAATTTGGAAAAGTGCTATTGTTTAATAAATTGTAGTTTAATTTAATAACTTTTGAACCGATCGATAACTGCGCAATTGAAAATGAATTATTAAATAAAACTATTAAAAAAACTATTAAAAACGATTAATTTTATTTTTTGTATTTAATGACGGGTATTGCATAAATATTAAACAACAAGATCCCTCAACAAGTGCCAAAACAAACAAGAATGTTAGTTCGAAGAATTATTATGCATATCGATAGATAATTAGACGCGATCAGGACAACGTTATTCTACGATGTCATAGCTTTGTCAACAATTCATGGTCGACATGTATGTAAAAATAGAGAGCGAACAATTTCGATACTTGCGATTCAATCAAAAACAATTGCGTGCAGAAGATTCTCAAAACAATTGTTAAATATCAATGATGGGAAAGTTACTACAGATGAAACGGGATGTATAAAATTACCGACCGATTTCTGCACAATCATTGATTAGCAAGATACTCTCATTGACCAGATATTTCCCAATGTACACAGGCAATACACAAGTCATGAGTGGCTGGCAGAAAGAGCAATTTTAGAAGCAGAAAATGTGGACTTTAACGAATTGAATCTCAAGATACAACATTTGTTATCAGGATAGTTGCTATCATACAAATCTATTGATACAGTTTGCGATGCTATTAAAGCTGTAAATTGTCCAACAGAATTTTTAAACTTATTGGATTTACCAGGCAAGCCACCGCATAATTTGCAACTGAAGGTTGGATCTCTGTTTATTTTGCTTCGTAATTCGAACGCACCACGGTTGTGCAACGGCATGCGATTAGTCATTAAACAATTAATGAAAAATGTAATCGAAGTCATCATTTTAAATGGCAAATTCCGAGGTGAAAATATATTATTACAACGAATTTCTATTATACCACACAAGTGCCAATACAATTTAAATGCCTTCAATTTCCAATTAGATTGGCATTTGCAATGACTATCAATAAGTCACAATGCTAAACGATGTCTGTCTGTGGCTAAGATTTGAGCACATTATGTTTTTCACACGGAAAATTATACGTGGCGTGCTCTCGAACCATCCAATTTGTTTGAGTTGGTGAAAGAGGGGATAACAAAAAATATTGTACACACTGTTGCATTAAGGGATTGATATTGTTTTTTTACTAATATTGTCATAATTAGCGATATATATAATTTTAATGGATCAATTTTAATAAATTATTAAAAAAATATATGTTTGATGATTTTCATTTTTATATTCCGTCACCGTTCACGGCACTCCATACCTCTTCCATTTATATACCATATCCTTACCCACCTATATTATATTAGTTTTTTTTTCTAGCAAAATATTCTCTAGAAAAAATTTATATGACAAAACAACGTCTGTCGGATCAGTTAGTAAATAATAATAATAATTATAATAATATTGCTTAGTTAATTATTTATATTATATAATTTATAATAGTAAAAATTTTCGCGTGCCATGGATTTGCCATCCCTAACCTATAGGGATCCAAAACCCTACAAATGTCGTAATAATTAATTTTACTCGTTTTTCAGACAATCCTATTGTATTTAATAGTCGTCATCACCTTTGACGTTTGTTCCTTAAAATATTACATTGTTGTAATATATTTGTACGATTGTCGTTTTGTTACTAATATATATATATATGTACTTATGTATAAACATAAACTTTGAGCTTTTACGTGATTACGACGTTAATTAATATCTAAGATTGTGTTCTCTTGTGTACACCTGAACCCTTATTTTCATAGTGATTTCTGTGACATGAATCTGAAGAGCATTGGCTATATATAAACAGGAAAAATCAATGTATTTATGTTTTGTAATTATTGGAGTTTCTCTGCGAGTTATTCTATTTTTTTTTCCGTGTTCAAATAACTTTCATCCCTTCTGTACTTTTTGAAAATACACTGTGGATTTTCAAAATGATAAGATGTTTCAAAAGTTTCAAAATATTTCAAAAGAGCTACAAGCATCTTGAAAATCACAAGTAATATTGAACCAATACTATTTATAACAATTTAAATAGGAAGAGTACACTAATTTTCATTCACATCATAATAAATAGTAATCGGTTTATTGTTATTGTTTAGGCTATATTTTCAATGATTTGTATTCGTTTTTGAAAATTATTCATGTAGGTACACAACAACTTATAAATTACTTGATAAATTCTATGTATATTTAATCAATCGTATTACCTCTAGAGTTTTAGAATGATAAATAGTAATTGTTGTTATTAGTTTTATAAATTATACATATTTTGTTTTAAAAAATAAAACCAATACGATTGCTACAGTTAAATAATTGATTCAATGGACAGAAAAAAAAAATTAAATTGAAAGGAGAAATGGAAAATACTCTAACCTTGTCAGATCACAATAATCTGCCTACTCTAAGAAGAAATTTGAATAATAATGATTAATAATTACGATGATACTTTAAATACAGCGTTTCCCAAAGTGGGCGATATTACCCTCTTGGGGCGCTAAAGCTATCCAGGGGGGGTAATGGAAGTTACAAGCTTAGTTAAAGGATAGTTCATTACAAAAAGGTGGTATTCTTAAAATGGACATATCCAAATGGGTTTTGGATCCTTTTTCAAATACATAAACCATAGATTCTGCAGTATTAGAAGAATTGATAAAAGTAACTACAAATGAGGAATTAAAATTTAAGTTCAAGGAAGGTTACAAGTATTCTGGCTACAAAAACAGATACCTATACTTTATCCTGGATTGTAGGTTGTTGTACAAACATTTTTGATAGCACATATATCATCCTACTTGATTGAACGTGGATTTAGTGCAGTAACCAATTAACTCACTAAAAAAAAAAAGACTATGGTTACAAATAACTAATCGTGGGGACTTATGAATGCTGCTTACGGAAATCGAACCTAATATCAATGAACTTCTAGCTATACATCAACCACATCCATCTCATTGAGATATTTTTTTTTTCATTTGTACCTATACATTATGTATTAACTTTTTGCAACAATTTGCATTAACTTTTGTAACAATATT